TTTGCGGTTGCCCATTGGCAAGGATGCTATTGCTGCGATGCGCAAGGCGTGCGAGGAGAGGTTGGCTATTTGTAATGAGTTTGAGGGGCTGGTGGATCAGACGGATTTCTAAATTTTGAATGAGAATTGTAAATAATGATTAGCTTCGAGTTGGTTCAATTGACATTGTCTATTAAAAATCGGTTGGATTATTCCGTATGGGTCGGACGGAATATTCCAGGTGACTTTGGTTAAAACCTTGCTCTGTTGAGTGCACTTGTCCGTGACACAATCCTTATTCATGAAAAGGGATTGACCAGAATTTGATTTACTAATGCCTATGGCCAAAAAACCGGTCTATGTCTTATGTTTTGTATTGTAGATTCGATGGAAAAGGAAATACTGGTAGTCAATAGTAGTATCCACGGGTAGTGGGAAATATATATCATTATCGCAAACATGACACCAATATCCTCTCCCATGATAAGTTATAGTTAAGTTTATATACAGCATCGACCAAAGTGACATAGATCAGTCAGCCGGTCTCCCCTGCAGCAACTTCTCCCGCTCCCCAACCCCAAAAGTCCCACTCTTGGTCAGAACCCTCCGCCTGGCACCCCTACTCCCTAGCGGTCCACCATCCCGATCTCCCAAGTACCACGCCAAGTCACTTGTCTCATCAGCCCCGGTAGCCGAGAGCCCGTTCCCCAACCAAGCAAACCGATCTCCACCAACATATTCCCAATCATAATCCTCAGCCCTTAACTCACGTAACGCATCCGCAAAATGCAAACTACTCCCCGGCCACATCGACAATCTCGCACTATCGCCATCGGCCTTATAATGCGAGCGACACGCATCCGCCCAGACGGTCTTTTCCAACAAAAACTTACGACAATGAGCCGTGAAAGCCCGACTAGCGGTGCGCGACGGACTGAACGCATGAATATTCTCTGTCTGGTAGCGGTCGATCAACTGGCAGATGTATTCGGCTTGAATCTCAGAGGTGCGGAGGTAACTCCCGCTGATGGAGGGAAAGAAGGGGCCCGCGAACATGGCGTAGTTGGGCATGTGCGGGACAGTGGTTGCGAAGTAGGAGTCTAGGACGTCGTCGGCCCAGAGGTCCGCGAGAGATTGGTTTGATTTGCCAATTAAGGGGAAGGACGGGATGCAGGTGGTGTCGAAGCCGGTGGCGCAGATGATGGCGTCCACGGCGTGGTGTTTTCCTGTGCTGTCGATGAGGCCGTCGGCGCAGATGCGGGTTATATCTCCGACGATGAGGGTGGTGTTGGGCTGGCTGAGGGCTGAGAGGTAGCCGACTCCGGGAGTTGGTCGACGGCAGCCTGGGGCGAAGGTGGGGAGGAGTTCCGAGGTGGGAAGGTTGTGCTGATTTAAGGTTGCTTCCATTGTTTGAGTTAGGTACTGGCGCATGCCTTGATGGAGTGGGCTGTCACGAAGGAAGGTAGAGAATGTGCTGTTGATCACTGTCTCAATTTGTTTGCGCTTTGTGAGGAGATGGGATGGGTCGTTAGTCCATTCTGTGATCTGGTCTGGGGTGTATGTTTGCTGTGCTCCGCCGAAGGGGCCAACGATCCAGTTGGGTTGGCGGATGAAGTGGAGGAGTTGGCTGGCTTGTGGTTGGAGAGCTGTGAGGAGTTGCTGACCACTGGAGCTGTTGGGGAGTGTATCTTTAGCCGAAGAGCAAGCAGAGGAAGATGATGGTTAGTAGCTTACCCGTTTCCAATCAAGGCAATTCGTTTCCCAGAAACATCATAGCCGTCGTCCCAATTGGCGCTATGGACCAGGTGTCCCTTGAACTCGTTCAAGCCAGGGATACTTGGCCACTTCCATCGGTTCAATGGACCACTGGCATTGATGAGTATGTCGACCGTGTCTGTCAGGCTTTGCTGGTTGGCGAGGTCTTCGAGTTCAATGCCCCATTTACCCTCGGCGTCGTCCCAAACGGCCGATGTGACCTTAGTCTGGGTGCGCACATACTGATGCAGATTGTACTTTGTGGCAAAGTCCTTGAGGTACTGCAGCACTGAGCTTCCCGGTGCATATTCAGCCGGGAAATTGGGATTGGGCTCGAAAGAATAGACATAGTTGTGGGCTGGGACGTCGCAAGCGACTCTGGTTTGGTGGTCAGTTGCATGAGGTTATGCGGTGGGACAGGGATGGAGTACTACATACCCAGGATAGTGATTTTCGTACCAGACGCCCCCAACGCTTTTGTTTTTCTCATAGACAACTAATTCGATATTACGAAAGGATCGTTGTAGCTTGTATGCAAGGCAGAGACCTGCCACTCCGGCCCCAATACATGCAATGCGGACAGTCCGCTCCGCGTGGATGGGATGCTCGGCTCGATTTAGCGTCATGTTTTTTCTTTCCTTTCTTATATGGAAATGCTGGGAATACACGGCCTGAATGGACTTCAAACTTCCCCCTCGGGTAAGACGGAGGAGCTCGCTCTTATAATTATTGATGCTGTTTTGGAACCTTTCAGTATTGTTACGTTTCGGCCCCTGGTTTGCCTGGTTCCTAAATGGTAATTATCATGCAACTTCACATAATATTCGGTATTTGACAGGTAATTCTGTATTAAAACCAGTGCAAATCCTGCCTTGCATTTTGGCCCCATGTAAGCAAGGACAGCAGGGATGCCTTGCGGAGCCCTAGCCGCCAGGATCGACACTAATGTGGGGGCCAAATCCTTCTTTATTTTCTTTTGCCACGAGGTTTATGGAGGAGTTCTAACTTCCAAGCTTTGTCGGTTATGAGTGTACTCCGCCTCCGGGCCCCCAATCTATTGTTGGGGTCCGGAAGGATAAAAGAGTCTTCTACTGTCGGCCCGTTCTCTCAACACACCAAGACCAACAGTATCTTTCGCAATGTCATCAGAGATCTCGTCTTTCCTTACCTGGGGTGCACTTTTGGTCCTCGCCTGGACAATCTATGGAGCCATTTGGCGGCTGTATCTGAGCCCCTTGGCGGCGTTTCCTGGGCCGAAGATTGTCGCCTTGACCTCGTGGATGGAGTTTTACCATGACGTGGTCAAGAAAGGCACATACATGTGGGAGATTGAGAAGATGCATCAGAAATACGGACCGATTGTTCGTGTGAGCCCGTACGAATTGCACTGCATTGATCCAGACTTCTACAATGTCATCTACGCCTCGCTGCCTCAAAAGAGAGACAAGTACGAAAAGTTCACCAAGTCGCCTGACTGCAACAACGCCACCGGATTTACCGTGGAACATGCCCACCATCGTATCAGACGTGACGCCTTGGCCCCATTTTTCAGCAAGCGAAACACTCTGGGCCTTGAAGATAGTATCAAGGCTTGTGTGGATCAGCTCTGCGCTAACATCGCCCGCGCTCATGCGGCCAAGGAGCCATTCAATCTTACTTTGGGGTCGATTGCTACCACCATGGATGTCCTCACTAGCTATAGCTTTGGCCAGCCTTTTGGGCTCTTGGCTGATGATGCTCTCGCTACCCAATGGCGTGATACCGTCTTTCACATTATGCGGGCCCTTCCTATCGTCCGTGCCTTCCCGCTGCTAGTGCGACTGGTTGACCTCTTACCTCCGATCATCTCCAAGTGGATCACCCCTGACCTGTCAATCTTGATGGGATGGAAACAGGTAAGGCGTTACCACTACTGCTAGCCATTTGGGAGTTGCAACTGACTCCGCCACAGCGTATCCGCAAGCAAACCGAAGACGTCCTCGCCTATCGTGGCATCTACTCTGACCCGGACCGCAAGGCCACCACTGTCATTGAAGCCCTCCGCGACAGCGACAAGCTGCCTCCGAAAGAAAAAACCCTACAGCGGCTATCCGAGGAGGGCGCAATTCTCCTTATCGCGGGTAGTGAGACCCCGGCCAAGGTCAATGCTGTCTTGTGGTATCATCTTCTGGCAAATCCTACCAGGCTCCAGCGTTTGCGAAATGAATTGGCCAGTATCTATCCGGACCCCAAGCACCCGTTACCGTCTGTGACAGAGCTTGAAAAGCTGCCTTATCTGAATGCCTGTGTTCTAGAGGGGCTGCGCCTGCAGAGTGGAGTCTCGGGTCGTTCACATCGGCTGGCCCCCACAAGTCTCAGCTATGGTAACTGGACGATCCCTGCCCGCACACCTCTCAGTTCAATATCCGTTTTCCAGCACTACAATCCTGTGCGCTTCCCTGACCCACAGGCCTTTCTTCCTGAGCGATGGCTCTTAGAGGACGGATCGGGGATCCGCATGGATCTGAAGCGCAGCCTCGTGGCTTTTGGGGCGGGAACACGTTACTGCCTTGGAACATCTCTTGCTTATGCGGAGTTGTACTTGATGGCGGCGGCTTTGGCGACGAGGGTTGATATGGAGTTGTTTGAGACAACAGTCGATGATGTGAAGATTATGCTCGATTGGACGATCCCTCAGCCGAAGCCTGACACTCAGGGTGTCAGGGTCAAGGTACGGGCGGTGCACATGCAGTAACTGAATGTTTAGGGCAGAGGCTTAGCAAGAGACTGTTGCCGAAGACGGGTAATGGCCGTATTGATGTATGGTAAGACACGAGGTGCGGACAACAGCCGAGAATAATGATACCGTACAATACAATGCACGCTAGCATTAGTGCAGAACGTTTTGGCCCCAGCATTAATTAACGAACACGAAAACAAGCATTTGATGAACACATCGTGGCATTGCTTCGTATTACCTTCTCGAAATGGACTATGCAGGCGTCAATTTCCCGATAAACCGGCTTACTGAATATACCCTCGGACGCGGGCATTCCATACCCGACGTTGGGAACCGCCGAATATGTTTCGTAGTATATAAGTTGGATGAATATCAGGCGATATGAGTAGTTCGATAGGCACTGACAATACCAAGTTTTGCTTTTCCTATTCCTCCATCAAAAACATTATCATTATGCTATCAGGTGCGAATATTCCTAGGTTCCCTTTTACAGGCCCAATGTCACTCACAGACTAACCACCAATGGCAAAAAGGGATCTTTGAAGCCATGGGCAAGCCATGGATCCTGCCCAGCATCCTCAAATCCATTACAGGAACACCTCCCCCGTGCACAGAAGGCAATCGGGAAAAGTCAACAAGCCCCCTCATCCGGTCTATCCACTATGCCTTCGACCCCGTTCCCTCCGATCACGACGTCCCCACCTCATCCGACTTCTTCCCTCAACTCCGCGAATGCCTCCAACACCCCCCACACGATGAATGCGTCTACATCCAGCCCACAGACCTCCGAGTCCCATGGCCAACCTCATTCCCTGCAGCTGTACAATGCAAACACTGGCAGGAAGTCGAGCAATCCGCCCGCGAACTGTTGGACGAGATTGTCTCCGAGATACAGAAAGAGGCCCAGAGCCGCTCACAAAGTCAAGATAAGAGTGGTGGTCGTCTGCTAAGTACACAGCTTGGAGCATCGCCGGATGCTCTTCCACAGAAGAAGTTGCATGAGGTGCTTGAGACGGCGGTGACGGGGACTATTTATATGTTTCCGGCGGCGAATGTGGCGCGTGCGAGGATCATGGCCAAGGCCATTTTGTTGATTTTCTTGCATGATGGTATGTTTGCCTATCTACCCTTACCAGTTTGGAGTAATCCGAGGTGAAGCAGCGAAGGATTTGGAGGAGCTAACTTGTGGATCAGATGTGGTGGAGGCACATGACGGGTCTGATGCTGTATGTTTCATGTTGCTTCCTTCTGAATTTAGAATTTTCCATGCAGGACTTTTTACCTGGTGCTATATCTTACTAACTTGGTGATACCGTACAGGGAGAAACCTTTCTGGATCTACTTCTACAATCGGACCGGTTACCGCAAACACCCCCACCTGAAGGAGATACTGAGCCAGGTCTCCCCTGGAGACAACGTATTCTGCGCGAATTCGTGAACGAAGTCTTGACCGAAGATCCCATCTCAGGGCTGGAGCTCCTCCAGGGCCTGAAGATCTGGTCTCAACATACCCGCTCGCATATCCTGAAAGACCAAGACCAGATGGCAAACTACACAAACCTCCAAGACTATGTAGAATACCGCATGGATGATCTCGCCGCTGAGTATGAACGGCCCTGCCATTCTTTATTGAAAAGTATCACTAACAAAGTCGCAAAAACAGCTTCGACCACGCGGCCATACATTTCACCACCAACGTCCACCCCACTGAGACCGAAATAGCCGGCCTCTCCACCATTCGCCGTCTATACCTCATCCATGCCTCCTTGACCAACGACCTGTACAGCTATGCCAAGGAGCTCCATGACCTACAAACTCGTGGCTGCACCATGATCAACAGCGTCCGTGTGCTGCAAAATAACATGATGGTCGGGGATGACACGGCGAAGGGAATCCTGCGCCGCATTCTGCTTGATGTAGAACGTCAGTTGCATGCTGAGCAGCAGCGCCTGAGGATGGATGCGGCGACTACAGAGACGCAGAATATCATTGCTCAGGCGGTGGTGCAGAGCTTGGCAGGCAATTTGTTCTATTCTGCTACTACGTATCGGTATGCGAGGGTTGTGGAGGGGGCGAAGTTGGAGTAGATCGTTTGAGGGATGGAATTTAAGAGAGAGTGGAAACAGGAATGGCAGTATGGGATTACTGTACATATGAGAAGATGAGAGGGGAGTGTACATACTTGACCAGGGCATGATGGGGTTAGAATCTCTTGGGTTATTTTTGGCTTGGGTTGGGGGCGTCTTTTCTGGGTTTTATTTTGGACATTATTCTTCGGATGACTATTTGCCTATATCAATAGATGATTTTTGTGCGAGAACGATTGTTATGTTATTATGAGAAATGTGGTGGCAGAATGCTCATGGGCATATATATTTACTATATTGGAACGAAATATGACAATCTATCAAGCAGCATCCAGAGTCAACTGATCTCTCAGACCAAGCAGCTCCAGTCCCAAAGAATCTAGCTGACCTTTCTTGTGAAGCAGGAAAGGGCAGTGAGCAGCATAGATGAGTTGCAGCTAGCTCATATTTGATATCTCTTCATAGGGTTCATTTCAGCTGTAGCTTGACGTGTTGCGCGATGGTGAAAACCCGCGTCTGTTCCTCAACCATGGATAGCATACGGAGAATCCGCAAGTGAATCGCAATGGACTGATTTGTGTATGCGTGTGTATGTAAGAACATAGTGCCTCAGTATCAGCTCATGAAATATACAAAACTGAGTAACCAATGTGCAGTATGGTAAAGTCGATCGAAGACCACTTTTCGTTGCAACTCCCACGTAGATTTATATAGATAAAAGTACTTTTATGTTTAGATTCACTCTTATTATCTCATAGGCATTGAAAGTTCGAAAACTTACTACCTGACAGACAAAGCCAATCTCTGGAACCTGGAATCCACATCCCAAGATCTTAGAATTCTTCTGACTCATCGGAAACCATATCCCGACAAGGCTATACTCGTGTTTTCCCCTTCAGAATGACGTATCTCCTGCCGTAAACTTCTCGCCCGAGAGATCGATAAGATATCTCGGCAATGATCTCCGTCATCGGCAAATATGATTGGTGGAATAAGTTTTAGCGACGCCGACTCATGTCCTACAAGTCTAGAACTACACCGATATACTACAAACTCAATTTTTAAAAGAAAGAGTATTTAGTCGACGGGCGCACTCACATTCCTTCCCTGGTAATATACCACAGTCTATCAATTGGTGAAGAATGGCCAGTAGCGGATCAAATATGTCTACCACCACGCAACTCCCAGCACTATCATCCATCCTCTCCGCGCAAGACTTCGAAAAAGCAGCCTCTCAATCCCTCACACCCAAAACATGGGCTTTCTACTCCTCCGCTGCGACAGATACAATTACACATGAATCGAACAGAACCATGTACGATCGCATTCTTCTCCGGCCGCGAATCCTCCGCAATGTCACCTCTGTATCAATGAAGACAAATATTCTGGGCTGCCGCATGGATCTACCATTGTTCATGAGTCCCGCGGCAATGGCGACGTTGGTTCACCCGGACGGTGAGCTTGCATTGGCGAGAGGATGTGCGACGTATGGGATTGGGATGTGTGTATGTGAAGCCTCCCTTATCACTGTCGTAGCAGCGTTGTCTAGGCAGTATAAATCTAACAAAGAATGTGATTGAATGAAGGTCTCCACAAACGCAGCCTACCACCTCTCGGAAATAACATCCGCCGCAGCAAAGCAAACGAAGAATAACAACATCCCATTCTTCTTCCAACTTTACGTCAACAAGGACAGAGAGGCATCGAAGCGTCTTCTCCGCATCGCAGAGCAGAACGGAGCGAAAGCGATCTTCGTGACTGTGGATGCGCCCGTCGCTGGGAAGCGGGAAGCGGATGAGCGGGTCCCGCTGGATCCTCACGATATCCGATTTAGAACGCCGTTACCGATGAGTGGGGCGTGCATTGGTGGCAATGATGAGAAGGGAGGCGGGTTGGGAAGATCGATGGGACAGTATATTGATGCTGGTTTTACATGGGAGGATCTAGCGTGGTTGAAGGAGAATACGTTTCTGCCTATTGTGTTGAAGGGGGTGCAAACGGCGGAGGATGCGGTGTTGGCGATGGAGTATGGGGTGGATGGGATTGTGGTTAGTAATCATGGGGGGAGGAGTTTGGATACGTGAGTTTTCTGTCTTTTGTTGTCAGTGGAGGGGGTGTGGTGAGTCGTGCTGATTATGGTTGGCAGGTCTACTTCATCAATTGCTGTGTTAATGGAGATACGACAGAGGTGTCCGCAGGTGTTTGATCGGTTGGAAGTGTTTGTCGATGGAGGTATTCGGCGGGGAACGGATATAATCAAGGCTATATGTCTGGGTGCGAAGGCTGTCGGTATGGCAAGGCATTTCCTGTACAGTTTGTGTTACGGACAGGAGGGGGTAGAGAGGTTGATTGAGAGTATGTTTTCCGTACCTGATAGTGATAAGGTGAGAATGCTAACGATCACAGTTATGAGAGATGAATTAGAGACAACCATGAAGTTGTTGGGGATTACGGATCTATCACAGGCTCATCCGGGCCTGTTGAACACATTGGATGTGGATCATCTGATTCCAAACCAATCTGCGTCATTGTATAGCGATCCAGCCAGGGCACGCCTGTAACCGCAGGGTCTTCAATTCGAGTTAGAAAGAAAAAGCTGGTAGTTAATGATGCATCTAGATTATTTCCTGTCTTTCAAACCAGTATGGCAACAGGTGATTGAAGCCAATGCCGAATGTTCCATCGGGATAACTAGCAATAGATGCATCAATGTCTGTCATCGGGTACTGTAGCAGTTGGCCCCATCCGTGTACTGGTACCTCGCTAGTGCTAGCCCAATGCAAGTCAGAAAGCATCTGCAACATGTTCATCAAACTCGTGCCTACGATATTACACGTATGCTCCTCGTTGACATCGGCACCTTTTGTAAGCAGACACCGGGCTACCCGCATTCCAATGTGGACAATGCGCCCGGAATCAATGGGCAGCTTGAGTTGAAAAATGTCACCTGTAGCGCTGCCCGCCAGGCCCATATTTAATCCGACAATTCTCAGAAGAAAGGAAGCACAGAATCCCACCATCTGATGGATGTTAATGGGAACATAACGGAGATTCAATGAGAGATCACTGTCAGTTCCTATGACGGACAGTACTCTTATAGCAGCGTCAATTGCAGCACGCGCAGTACGACAATGCTCGAATGTCCACGCTTCGAAATTCGTCGGACTATTATCATAAGGAAAGATCCCCCGAAATGCCAGAGAGTAGAGCTGAAACTGAGCAAAGGCTTGAAAAACGTTCTTCACATCCTGGGGGAAAGAAGAGTGAGGGTGGTCGGTGTGGAATGTTCCAGTCGGATACTGCTGCAGGCATCGCTTAACGACGTCTTCTAACGCCCGTATTGTCACCATATCATCTTTTTTCAGGGGATATCTGCAATCTGTGTAAAAGGTCGCATGAGCATTTGCCAGGGTATCGTAGTATAGAGCGAGGGTGATTAGCCTTTTGTCTTCATCACTGGCACCCTCTGGACTGGGAATCCGCGTCATATCCCAGATCGGTTTATATCCAACATCCTTTGGAGGACAACCACGCCCAGTGGTGAAGTATTGGCCGCAGATATAGGCGAGACACCACAGTCGAACCTGTTCCATATCGGCTACCTCGCCCCGCATGTACCGATGGAAGGCTTCATCTAGGCTGAGCTCGCTTGAAATATGAATGGCCTCGCCAGAGAGTTGCTCCCCCAGGTACTTGAAGTAGAATGCACCAATGCACAAAGCGCGAACATCGTCCAAGCTATTATGGTGAGGATTCATCAACCTCCGCATGAGGGAGAGAGATACAAAGACTTCGTGGCATTTCTCGTATATTTCTGCTCGATCCGGAGCAAGTAGTGCAGCGACGGAAAGGATGGCTGCCGTTAGCATTGCCGATGACCTGCGGGCAGAGTCCAGAGTCTCATGTTGCATGAGAAGCCCATCCCATAGAAGCGGATTAACACATGTAGTAAACATGTTGAACAGGTCTTCTGCCTCTTCTAGGGAGACAACACCCTCTGAGATGAGATCACTTTCCGTAGGAGATGTACTACATCCGGAGCCTGATTCGATGTGGAGATTTCTCAGACGGATAACTGCATCAGACAGGGACACTGCGCCAGGCGTATCTCTCAAGATTGTGTTGATTTCTTCTCGCAGGTCAGCGACCTCATCGATGAGTTTGTCTTTGGATCTACATTTGTCAGTAAGAATTGTGAGATATATGTGGCTGTGGCATACTCTTTCTCATTCTTAAGGCGTTGCACCATTGCAAAATACGCATCGCACTCATTGAGCCCATGACGCGAGCATCTAGTACAGGCGGTTTCTCCTTCTTTGACGCTGCAAGTCTTTCCACGGATCGCACAGCTTCCACCTGAAGGAATAAGCTATTGTATGGAAGGTGGAGATAACTTACATGCGGTGCGTGCGCCGGGAGGGCCAGCGACATCTGGCTGCGTTGTCTCCATTGCTGCGGCAAGTGTCAGTGCCACAACACTTGATGATTAAGTTATTTACCGATATATGATATTCTCAGATCAGAAGGTTAAAGGTTGTTTATGAGGAAGACCAAGGAATCAGGATGAAATGGCTTTATATAGCCATGGTCATGACTCGATAAGATTTAAATAATAGTTCTTCTTGACTGGGGGATTCCGATGAGACGGGTGTTGCTTCCGAAAGTGCAAACTAAGATGCAATGTAGAATTTCCAGTGTGAATAGATATGGCAGAGATTGTAAATGCATATCTAACATTTTTTTTTAACGATACTGGCCTATATATTCGGCGGATACCGCACATGGGTGCTGTTGTAAGCTGATATATTCTTACTGTCCGAGATAACGAATGTTTCCACCGACTTCTAGCATCCACGGAGTATCTCATGTGTGGAATAGACCCGAAATTGCCGAGTCCAATCGGAAAAGACGGTATGGTAGGTATCATATCTCACATCTTGGTATCTGCAGTTATCCCTCTGCCCCATATATGGAATATGCCTGCTTTTGCTATTTCATGTACTTCAACACTAATGAATCACGCATTGCAGGACAAGCAATAAACTCGACAATAAACGATATTGACGAACGTAAGGTGAACAGTGGAAGTTTCCACAGACCATACCGAAACGCACGAGGACACTTTCTCTCCAACCTATCAGATTAGAAAGAGTGTTTTCAGCTGTGAGAATTGTGGAAATTACAATGCTTTGCAACTGCAGAGTTCAAAGAACCACCAGACACAAACTAAGATATCATCTCCTAGTCACCCAATCCGTTTGCAACCATCCAATATGACAGTCAATACATAGCTTAAACCAACACTCCCATCATCACAACCCCCAAACCCCAACCCCATCCCCACCCTCCAACCTCAACCCTTCCCCCACCACTCGAACTTCCACTCCCTCCACCCCCACCCCCAGCCGTCTGCGTCGCAGCAGCCAACTTCTCCGCCCCAGCCGTAACAGTAACAGGCATATACCAAATCTCACCTGACCCATACGACGTACCCGAAGTAACCACAGACGAGGAATTCTGTCCCCCACTCACGGTCCCATAGTATCCGATCGTGACAGAGCACGACGCGGCCTGCGTCGAGGAGATGATGTTGCACGCGTTACTTTGGGATGTTGTCACTGTGAGGCCATTCGCGGAGCCGATGAAGGTTCCGTGCTCGACGTAGGTGGAGGGCGCCGCGGTGATCGTGTAGATGGATGGGATGGGGCATGCGCCGTTGCAGGTCACGGCGAGGATGGTGGTGGAGGATGAGGCGGAGATGATGCTCGCGTCGAAGGTGGCGAGGGTGGTTGAGGGTGTTGGGGTTGTGGTTTGGGAGGTTAGTGAGGTGGGGAGGATGTTGAAGATCTGGATTGTGGTGGAGGTGGATGAGGTTGAGGATGAGAGGGTGGTGGTCGTGGTGGAGGTTTGGGCTAGGCTGTAGCCTACTAGGGGGAGGATTATGTGGAGGAACTTCATTATGACAATTGTGGAAACAGTGTGGAGAAATGAGTGAGATGGATAGATAAGTTTCGTGATAAGTTATTTGGATGGTCTTTGGTATTTAAGTACATGGCTGGTGGGATAAGTGGAGCTAGATCATAAGATCTTTAGCAAACAGAGTACAGACTAGTCCACGTCATGACAATAAGCTTATCTCACTCTTGGCCCATTAAAGCTCCATTGGCAAGAATGTTGGAGCCTACGACACGAGCTGCAGAAGTATTTGGTGGTGCGGCATTTCAATCTGTCCTGTGTTGCAGATGAGGTCATCCCCATCGTCATCTCAGCGCCTTCAACCCCATCTAAATTTCTAGAACATGTGAATGACATTCCCCAAGAGGAAATTCAAAGAATATATCTAAAGCCAGCATTCCGAGCTTCCAAATTATCAACCTCATGTCCTCCCCTATCCTGTTCCGCCGCATCCAGCTCCTTATTCATCCTCAGATGCACAGCACGAATGACAAAAGCAATAATCGCAACAAGGAGGGCTATCCCTGCCGTAGCACTGCCACCGGCGATATATCTTGGCCCTGATGACGACGGCCACATATAGCTTCCATAGATGGACGCTGTGTTGCCAATCATATTTGCCGTTGCGATTGCAGCCGAGCGTTTTACCAGCGGGCGGGGGAAGGAGTTGGCCACCCAGGCAATGATAATTTGATAGGCAGATACGGCGCCCATGGGCATTCTACATTATCAGTATTATTAGAAGCCAAAGATGAAAGAAAAGGAAACGGGGATTCTTACAAGAACATGCCAAAAAATCTCGCGCCAATGTTCGTCGTAGCAGTGCAGATGATGCATCCCACCACACTAACAAGCATCAACAGGATAATATGTATTCCGCGATCGTTTGCCTTTCCGGATGTCCATGTCACGAAAAGAGATACCAAGAAGGTAGCGATCCAAACAGGGGCAGTTATTAGCAAAGTCTCGATATTTCCATAGTCGAGGGTCTCGACGATGGTGGGGAAGAAGTATTGGAAGTTCTGGGAGAGGAGCGACGTATGCTGGAGAAGGATGAAGAGGTAGATCCGTTTATCTGAGAATACGAGATAAAGCGCTTCTTTAATGTTGCTCGATGTGGCTTCGTCTGCTTCTCCAGCGTCGTGGATGAGTCGCCATTGTGCGTATAGCTTCTCTGTTTCGTCGAGCCATGAGGTGGTAGCGGGGTAGTTAGGCAACAGTAGTCTATCCGGTCAGAAACCAGTATGTTGGAAATATAGTAGTGGGTAACTCACGTTGAGGTCAGTGACACTCCCACAGTAATGCACCCTTCGATGATAAAGAGCCATCGCCACCCTGCTATCCCATGCGCACCGTCCAAGTTGCCGAGCACTCCAGCTCCAATCAGGCCACCAAACGCATTTGCTAGGGAGCTTCCAGCATAAAACCACGCAATGCGATGACTCAGCTATATCGATCAGTTCAACATGTCATAGGTCAGACTGACCTAATGCCTACTTACCTCTTGCCTGGTATACCAACTCGACCTGTACACATTAGCACTGCACAAATGGGCTTATTGTTGCACAACTTACATCAGCATGATTGCACCCGGAAAGAATGGCGC